TGATTTATAAGGGATATATAGGGCATTTATAGTAGGTTTATAAGAGATTTATAAGGGGTATATAGGGCATTTATAGTAGGTTTATAGGAGATTTATAAAGGGCATTTATAGTAGTTTTATAGATGATTTATAAGGGGTATATAAGGCATTTATAGTAGGTTTATTGATGATTTATAATGGGTTTATAGGGTATTTATAGTAGGTTTATAAGAGATTTATAAGGGGTCTATAGGGCATTTATAGTAGGTTTATAGATATTTATAAGGGGTATATAGGGCATTTATAGTAGGTTTATAGATGATTTAGAATGGGTATATATGACATTTATAGTAAGTTTATAGATGATTTAAACATTGCAACATTGTATCTTTCGGTAGTTATTAAAGATTCAGGGTGGCCACCGTTCGTCTACCGACCACGCGGCGGTCGGCCATCTTGGATCCTTTGTTAGCCCAGCGTTATTTTGTCATTGAGTGCCTGGAACTAAAATTGGCTACTCGATGACACGAATACCGCTGGACTTCCAGGTCTTTCGGTATTTGCTCCCTACGAGTGTATTCGTGTTTATGCGAAGTATATATTGGATTGAAATTCATGCGGCGTTCGGCTAGATGTGCTGGGATCTGAGCGGTATTTGCACGAAATGTGCGCTCAGACCCCAGCTATCTACCGAACGGTCATTCGGTAATATAGCATAAATAATGTTAAAGTTGTATATTTTTATGTGAAATGCCAGTTCTGCTGCACGGAGGGATAATCCACTTAACTGTATATTCTAGTGGGAGTATCCCTCTCGTGCAGCAGTGCACGATGGGAGAAAGGTCTTGGTTGTTAAGTTCTCCATGTAGTCCCCTACTGTACAACCCCTGTAAAGTCAGTAAGGTAACCCCTTGCATGGGGTGTAAAGGATCCTTCTATTTGTGCAGTGCTGATCCTTGTATATTCTCCCTAAATCCAGCTGGAACAAAGTGATTATAGCTTCCAATCCCCCAAACATGAGTCGAGACTTAATGAAGGGGTAAAACGAACTTATTTAATGGGGGCTACCTGCCCGGTGTCCTGGTGGACACTCCCCTAGGGGACCAGATGGAAGACTGTGACAAAAGAATTACAGTAGCCAATCGCAGTGGCTATAACATAAGCACTCCCCTTTTACATAGGTCACTCCCTCCTTTCCATCCTGGAGATAATTAACTTAAGGTAGTAAAGAGAGCCTTAAGTATATCCAGGTAGAAAGAAACATGGCTTTTCCCATATTCACAAAACAGCATAAAAATCTATAACTTATATTTTACTGAACATAAACTTTAAGTCCCACATACCCCCAGATAGCTTGGATCTGAGTGCATATTCTAGGCGAATAGCGCTCAGATCCCACGAACACAGTTCTCAATAACGTCGAATGAAGTTTGGACTTCACCGGCCGTTTGCGTGTTTGTATCCGACAAAGAGTTCCACACTGTAGCTATCTGGGGTCGGTCTCTTTCGCATAAATCCAAGTCCCGAACAGTGCAATGTGCAATGTTCGTATGTTTTCCACCGTACGAACGAGGACCTTGGTAAGTATCAGCGGTGTTCGGCAAAATAAGTATTCGAAAAAGAGTTCCAGGGCATCGCCGCCATTTAGCGCTGGGCATTCAACGATTTAAAATGACGACTGCCACGTGTTCGGCAGACGAACGCGGACCACCAAGCTGTTCCCCAATTACTCTGTGGTTAACCGTAAAGTCTGGGTGGTTAATGAGCGCCACACAACCTCAGTAGGAGGTCGGGTGATTCGGCAGTTTATTCGTTTTATTGCTATTTGCACAAAATCACCACACACGTCTAAATAACCGAACAGGCTGGTTCGCATAGTCTGTTTAACAAGGGATTTCGTTACATGGGGAATCACATAAATACTGTGACCTGTGATTAAAACCTCAGTTGACTCCCAGCCTATGTGTCGTCTAGTTCTTGGGAAAGAAGGATTTATTTAACGCTACCGGGATTATTGTATGCTGTACTTACCAGCAGAGATATTGTGGATGATACTACCTCTCCGCTACAATTGGTGTCAAGCGATGGGATTTCAAACACCCAGCAAACCAGCGTTCGGCAGTAATCACACGAATAAAGAAGAGAAGCAGCAGTTTGACGGAACAAACTGTAACGGACCGTTTTGCACAAAAGGGGAAAAAACCGCTTAGACGATAATCCCCTTTCAGAGACAGGCACAGCTACTGTAGAATCACCAAAACTCACGAATTGAATACAAGTGAATGCACCAAACGCCCGAACTGCATACAAGGGAATGCTCCAAACACCCGAACTGCATTCAAGGGAATGCTCCAAACACCCGAACTGCATACAAGGGAATGCTCCAAACACTCGAACTGCCAATAAGTGAATGCTCCAAACACCCGAACTGCATACAAGGGAATGCTCCAAACACTCGAACTGCATACAAGGGAATGCTCCAAACACCCGAACTGGAACCTCACGAATAGCTGCTAGCAGACGAACAGGAAAAGCACCCAAGCGGCTTACACTCCTGGCAATCAGTCTCTATCAGCATACAGTAAATCCCCCCAAAGACGAGACAGAGCTCCGTGTTGAGGGTCAAGCAGTGGTCTGTTTAATGAGGGCTACCTGCCCAGTATTTATGCAGGTCTCCCATCTGGTGGACACTCCCCTAGAGGACCAAATGGGAGACTGTGACAAGGGACAGACAAGTAGACAAATAGGACACACAGTCACAGTATATTCCCACAATGCATCCTGGCTTCCTCCCAAGACAAAGGCAAAACTCCATTACACATGTGGGGACACAAAACCAGTATTATACTTTAAAATACATAAAGTAACATTTACTACATAAAACACAGACATGTAACATATCCCAGATAGCTCAGGTCTGAGTGCACATTATTAGGTGAATGGCACTCAGACCACACAAATACAGTTTAATTGCCATGAAGCCAAAGTCTTTAATTCCACGAACAGGCTCCATGGCATAGCTATCTGGGTTAAAATATTCCCCCAACACAAAATACCGAATCTACATACATTCGTTAAATTGGTACGAATCAGAACCAGGGGCTGGAGGCTCAGCGGAGCTTAGCTGACACAGTGTCCAGATTTGGCGTAGGAAAGCCGGGCAGAAAAGCGCTGGCTGCCCGGGGAGCTCCAGAACATCGCCATCGTGTGGCGGCTAGGTGTAACTGCGACCACCCAGTAACAGTCAATTAAGCTGCGGTTAACCGCAGCTACTGGGTGGTCAATTGCCGGGACACGCTCGTTCAGGGAGGTAAATGGAGGGCACACGCCAGCTTCTGGGTGGCCAATTAACGGCGCCGGCCGACTTCCCACGGCTCTGGGGAGGCTGATAGAAGTCTGTTTGTTCGGTAGATAGAATCTACCGAATGGCTGTGCAGAAAGGAAGGAATAAGTCTTTCTGCACAGTAAAATTAACCGTTTAACTGCCGGTCCATAATCCAAAGGCAGCAGGCGGGCAACCAGGCTCCTCCAATGCAATGTGGCGAGATTGGTCTCGTCACATCTCTCCCCTTTTACAAACAGACTAACAGGGTATCTGACCTCCTGCCGGTCAGTGCCCTTGTTAGTCCAGCAGCCCACCCACAAAACACAATCAACAGCACAGCCCACCCACAATAAATGGTTACTGCACCTGGGTAGAGGAGAAGCTTGTCCATGTCCAGGTGCCTCACCACGGCTGTGCTGGGTACGGGTATGCTGACTTGGTGGGTTGCTGAGTGGGCAGAGACCAGTGGTACTCTGCCCTGGTGCCAGTGCTACTGGGGAGGTAGCCTGGTTGAAGCCTGGTTGTTGGAGGGGGAGACCGACTGTCTCCCCTTTAGATACACAGTCCTGCTGCTGGAGACCGACTGTCTCCCCTTTGGTTACACAGCTCTGCTGCTGGAGACCGACTGTCTCCCCTTTGGTTACACAGCTCTGCTAAACAGCCCTGTCGTGGGGGGGCAGGACCGACTGTCCCTACCCCCTGTGCTGGACGTGCAGAGACCACGGTCACATCTGCACAGTTGTGGGGCTTACTGTCTCCCCTCCCACTGGAGTAGGAGGAGTTTGCCATTACTGCTGGAGAGGGAGCTGCTCTGTGCTTCATCTGTGTGTTACCAGGACCACACCCGTTTGTGGCTGCTTTGGAGCTTGATTTCTGGGCTTTGGAATTACTACAGCAAGGGGCTCTGCCTGGGCCTAGGCAAGCATGGCCCTCGGGCCTTCCTCCCCAGCCTGGGGATGGAAGGTCAGGCTGGACGAGCTGCAGGCAGTGCTGGCTTTTGGGGAAGGTAAGGCGGATACCAGGGGCCTGTCTTGGACTGAGCATCAGGCCCTCTCCCGGCAAATACGAAAACAGGTCTCCCTGTTGGAGGAACTGGCGAGGGGGATGTCTAGGAAGCTTACAGCATGGAAAAGGGAAGTGGGGGTCCCCCAGGGAGCTACGGCCCACACCAGGGCCGATATCCAGCTGCTCTCTGGGCTGCTGGCTGAGTGCCGTGAACTTGCCAGCAGTGGCCTCCACTTCCTAGAACAGCCCCCCCCGTCCCTGGAGGTGGGAGAGGGTACCGAGGAGGAGGTAGTCCCTGAGACCCCCCCTGAGGTGGCTAGTGCCAGCAAGACCCCTCAGGCCTCCCTCACCTATGCTGAGGCTGCAAAGGGTGAGGGGGTTGAGGCTAGGGTCTTTATGGGGCTACCTTCTGACAGGCTCCGGGGTCTGCTTGTGTCCCTGAAGGCCCAGCATGCCGAGGCAGACTCTGGCCTAGCTGGGGTCCAGGCAGAGCTAAGGGAGCAGAGGGAAAAATCAAACAGGACCTCTAATTACAAAAGAGGTCCTTTGAGGGCCGCTATAGCTGAGAAAAAAATTAGTGGAGCAGCATCTATCCTACACCCTGCTCCAGACTGAAAAGAAAATAGCAGACATCCAGGCCATCCTGCAACAGAGAGCCAAGGACGCTGCGAGGTCCAGGAGGCAGAGGGCTATGGAGGGCAGGAGGGACATGTCCCCAGGTGAGGAGTCCAGCAAGGACTTGGATTCCAACTCCCATCACTCACCTGGGGAGCCGTCTACCTCTGCCCTTGCTACTCCAGGGGGCGCTGCTGAGACGGAGGGGAAGGCCAGAGAGAAGGACAGTGAAGAGGAGTGGGACGGAGAGAAAGGTGAAGAGTGGCAGCTGAAAGTGCAGGACAGAGGTCGAGGGCTGATTAAGGAGTCTCTCCTCAAGTTTGGAAACGAACTTGGGGAGGACTCCGTAAAGGACAAAAAGAAGAAAAAGAAGAAAAAGAAAAACATCGCCCGGCGTCAGCCTGAGACCTCTGTCAGGGGGTCTGGAGATTCCACAGAGGAGGGTGAGTGCTCAAATGCTGAGTATATGTACAATGATGATGTTCAGGCCTTGCAGAAGCCTGGGGCCAGGGATACTAACCCTGCAGGTGGCAACACCTGTATGCCCCAGAAACCTGCACAACCTGCTTCTGTGGAGTATCTGGGCCCCCCGCCGCCCTCCATGGTGACAGGGAGACCATCCCCGCCGGTACTATGGCGTGTACCGGTGATCCCATGGAGGGGTCCTTCCCTTGCTCCCTTCCCACTCCCTCCCTTACCTGCCTTCCCTCTGACCTTCCTCTCCGTGTGGTTGCGTCCCCTGGAGTGGCTGGTACCTCTGCCTCCTGTCCTCAGGCGCCTGCTGGGCAGGATGGCACTGGATGGAGCAGTCTGGAGCAGGGTGATGGCCCTCCTTTTCCCTCTGCTCCCTTGGAGCAAGCTCGACTGCTCTCCCCTACCAGCAAGTCTCCTCCCCTGTTTGTCCCCCAGTCTGTTTCCCTGGATGTGTCCAAGTTTGTCTTCCAGTCTGTTCCCCCTGCTTCCCTATGTATTCCCCTTATGTCTGCATGTGTAACCAGTCCCCCTGTTGTTCCTGGTGCCTCGGGTGCCGCGGGTGCCGCTGGCGCTATGGAAGACAGGACTGCAGGGGACTCCCATCATCCTCAGCCAGCAGTCCATACTGAGGAAACCGCCAGTGGAGGTAAGAAAAGTATGACTAACATTGTGTTTGACTCCACTGGTGGTTTAGGGATGGCTGAGGAGGATGGGAATATGGATGTAAATGTAATGATGGGACCTATTGGCCTTAGTAAAAAGGTCCACAGCCAGCCTGTTTGTATTAATGATGTTGCCCCTGCCCCTGGTGTTGTTGCCCCTGCCCCTGGTGTTGTTGCCCCTGCCCCTGGTGTTGTTACCCCTGCCCCTGGTGTTGTTGCCCCTGCCCCCGGTACTATTGCCCCTGGTGTTGTTGCCCCTGCCCCTGGTGTTGTTGCCCCTGCCTCTGGTTATGTTGCCCCCGCCCCCGGTACTATTGCTCCTGCCCCTGGTACTGTTTCCCCTGCCCCTGGTTATGTTGCCCCTGCCTCAGGTTATGTTGCCCCTGCCCCTGGTTCACTGGAGTTAGTTGGTACACAGGTGGCGGGCACGAGCACGGGCACAGGCACCCTGACAAAGGGTGCCGCGGTTATAAATAGTTTAGACACACAAGCAGGTACACGGGTTCCCCTTAGGTACTCCCAGGTTGTCACCCAGGGTTCTGGTGTGACCGAGGCCTCTGGTTCAGCGAGGGGAGTCCGTCCAAATCATTCCCAGACGGCGGGTCCCGGTGTGCCCAATGCTTGGGCATCTGGGCCACCTCGCCTCTCTGCGGACGGGCCTGCTACGCGTCCTCAGGTTTCCTTTGGGAACAGGAGGAACGTGGTACGGCTCATCTGTGGGGGTGAGACCCAGGTGCCTGACAGACGGTGGCTGGTGACCCGGCTAAAGGATATGGGATTTGCGCCCGTGGACCTGTACGCGCTCATCCATGCCTCGGGCACCCGGGAGTTCGTCTCCTTTATGACGTCGCAGCTCCTGGATCACTTCTGGGCTGGGTGGGAAGCGGCCAGGTCTGCACAGGGTACAAAGTGGGCAGGATTCACCGCTGTGGCCATTTCTCGCCAGGGTCTTAAGAAGGTCACTTTCCTGGTGAGAAATGAATCCATCCCCATAGCAGACATCCTTGTTTGGACTAAGAGGTTTGGGGATGTTAAATCCCCCCCTGTTAAGATCTTAGATGAGGATGGGATTTGGACAGGCGGATGGACTGTTTCAGTGTTGCTGCGGGAGATTCGAGGTGTCACACAGCATATGCCTAATAGTTTTTTCATCTGGGCTGACCGGGTATTCTGTTTTTATCCTGGTCAGCCCAGGGTATGTCACAAGTGCGGATCGTGCAGGCATTACAGCAATGCCTGTGCGGTCCTCAAATGCACTATGTGCGGTGCTGTGGGGCACCTCCGGGACAGCTGCAGGGAGATCCGGTGTCATCTGTGTTCAGAGATGGGTCACACGTACCGCACCTGCCCCGAAGCCCAGCACAATGTAGAGTCCATCTGGAGTCAGGAGCTGGTGGAGATGGACTCTGCTGGGTTAGGGGTTCAGGTAGCATCGTCATATACAAGGCCCATCTCTGGCACAAGGGTTTCCCTGCCCCAGCAACAACCCATCCTCCCCTCGGTCTCTGTAACATCTCAGGACCCTGGGAAGGCCACAAGTTCACGTCCCCTCACGAAAAGTGTACGTAGAGAGCGCACTACCTCCAGCCATTATGGCTCCCCCTAGACCCCCTCCCCTAGGCCCCCCCCTCCTAAATTCTCCACGGTGAAGGTTACCCCCACTGAAAAGTCCCCAGATGCACGTCCCTTAGATGCACAGTCCCTAGAGTGGAGCACGGTGAAAGGTAAGAAACCCCCCCCCTCCAAGACCTCGACGCTGCCCTCACCCCGGAAGATCGCCATACCCCCTGCGGCGAAACCCCCGAAAGGGGGAGACGCCACTTATAAGGGTGGTGTGGCACGGGCGTCATCCTCCTCTTCGGGCTTGCAGGAGGCCCCGGTGCCCGTATCTAACAGGTACGAGGCACTGTCCTCCAGCTGGGCCGACTGTGAGTACGAGGAGGAGATGGCGAACCTCCCCGGGGTGGTGGCAGGGGTTGAGGTGGGACAGGAGGTGCTTCTGAGAGACGACGGGCCACTGTATCCCGGAGTCTCAGTGAAGAGGTTCCTCGGTTCCGACACGGAGGAGGAGGGGTACCGCAGAAGGAAGGGAAAGTCTCCTTATACTTAATGCCCTTATGGCGACTTTTCCTGTACTCTCTGTGGCTACGGTGAATGTAAACAGCATTAAGTCCAGCAGGGCCCGCTTTTTGGTTTACGACCACCTCAGCCGGGCTCCGTACAATGTCATCTTGGTACAGGAGACCCGGCTGGAAACCCTCGCGGCCCTGCACGCTGCAAAGCGGGACTGGAGATGGGGGCCCTCCTACTTCTCTCTAGCCACAGAGAGATATGGGGGAATCGCCATCCTATTTAAGGACGTTGATGTTAGCATCAACAGGGTTATTGAGTTGCAAAAAGGACGGTGTGTGGTTTTAGATGTCTCAATGGGCAGGCAACCTTTCAGGATAATTAATATCTATGGCCCCCAATCTAAGTGGGAGAGGAAGCGCCTGTTTATTGAGATAGAGCCTTACCTTTATACATCCCAGCAAATCCTGTTTGGCGGTGACTTTAACACCATAACTAGGCCTCAAGACAGGAGAGACGCCACTCAGAGGCTGGGGTATGACTCCTATTTTTTAAATAAGATGGTTAGTCAGGCTGGATTGGTCGATGTGTACCTTCATCACACTCCCAATCCCACGGGTGGGTACACTTATCACAGAGGTAGCTGTCAGAGTAGGATAGATAGGTTTTTCTTTAAGGAGAATTTCCCGGTGGCGGCACCCGTGCTTACACCGGTGGAGTTCTCCGACCATCACATTTTGTCTTGCGAGTTGAACGTCTATAGTACCCCACCTAAGGGTAGAGGGATCTGGCGGCTGAATTCAGACCTCCTGGTGGAACAGAGGGTTCAGCAAGCCTTCATGGAATTCTTTCACGATCAGATGACATTGGCCGACTTAGGCCAAACGAAGTCTGAGTGGTGGGAGATGGTGAAGGCCAGAACTCAACGGCTGTTTCGCAATCTCGCCCGGAACATGCAGTCCTCCAGGTACAAGATGTATCTGGGCTTGCTTGGGAGGTTAGACATCCTGATCTCGCAGGGAGGTGATCCCGAGGACATTGCGGCAGTTAAAAACCTGATGAGGAGTTATCAGTATGACAGGGACGCCTCCCTTGTAAAAGAGAGAGATCATGGGTCATACCGCTCGCCCGATCCTTATCTTAGCTGCAAGCGGAAGGAAGGTACCAAGTCCATCCCTAGTCTGCGGGGCACCGACGGGACCCTAGAGGAGTCTCCTCGCGGGATTCTGAAGGTGGTCCGCGACTACTATATTGAGCTCCTCGGAAAGGGCAGCCCCCAATGTAGCGAGGAGGGAACCTCCCACGGGAGAAGGGTGGATGACTTCTTGAGCGAGCTCACGCTCCCTGAGCATAGCGACCTCTCTTTTGACGAGTTGGTCAGCAAGATCACCATAGAAGAGGTCACAGAGAGTATCCAACAGCAGAACAAGTGTAAGTCGCCAGGTCCTGATGGTCTGACGGCCGAGTTTTACCAACAGTTCTGCGACCTCTTGGCCCCTCATCTGACCGAGGTGTTTAATGAGAGCTTGGCTCAAGGATTATTGCCACCCTCGATGAGGACTTCTGCCCTGATCTTGCTGTCCAAGCCGAACGTGCTCGACACAGCGGATGTGGGGAACTGGCGCCCCATATCCCTGTTAAATGTCGACAGGAAGGTCCTGGCAAAGATTTTGATGAAACGAGTACAGGGCCTAGCGAGGCGTGTCCTATCCACCTCCCAGTACTGTTCAATCGAGGGCAGAACTGTCTTTGATGCCGTTTTCGAAGTCAGGGAAGCCCTCGAGAAGTGCAGGGACGAAGAAAGGGGGATATACCTTCTGGCACTTGATCAGTCCAAAGCTTTTGATCGAGTAGATCACCGTTATCTGTGGTCAGTCTTGCGGAAGTATGGCTTGCCGGGAAAATTCGTCAATTGGATAATCACCTTGTACAGAGGGGCCGAAAGCTTCGCTCTTGTGAACGGGTGGAGGGGCAGGACGTTTAGGATCCGATCCGGGGTCAGGCAAGGCTGTCCTCTCAGCCCACTCTTGTACGTGTTTGCAGTCGATCCCTTCATCCGAAGGGTCGAGGCAGGCACGTTACAGGGAGTGGCCAGGGCTCCGGAGAGGCCTTTACGGGTTGTTGCCTACGCTGATGACATCTCCATAGTGGTCTCCAATACTCGGGAGGCCACGGAGGTGGATGATTTAATCCTAGCGTATTCTGCCGCTTCAGCCTCTCGTGTCAACAGGGACAAGAGCGTAGTTTTCTGGTGCGGGAAGGAGGGGGACCAGTTCCCTCTTCCAGACGGTTTCCCGAGGGCCCAGCCTGAAATTAAGATCTTGGGGGTGGTGTTCGGACCAGGGGATCTGGCTCTCAGGAACTGGACCGAACGGCTTGCCATAGCTTCTAGCAAGGTGGAGGAGAGCCACAGGTGGAAACTGACGTTCAGAGAACGGGTGAACCTAATCAAAACCTATGTTCTGACCGTATTCGGCTACGTCAGTGATGTAGATTAATTTAGAAATAAACAAAAATGTTTAAAAGTCTATCTGTTCCTGTCCAAATCTGAGATGAATAAATTGCGTATACGCAGAAGTAAGTTCACACTGACACATGCAGTTCAGGTTAAAAACACTTCAGGAAATTTATTAGCATCTAGTTAAAAAGTGGGCACGCAGGCCTTTTTATATGCAAAATGACATCATCATTGAATATCAGATAATAACAAATAAACATCATTAATTGGGTTAAATGTTAAGTGGCTATGTCAGTGTCCACCCATTAATATTATTAATTGGCTCAGAGATTTGAGTGACTAGTGAGGCACCCTCCCATCATGGGATGTCGTCGCCATTGCTCTTTAGCACTAGGCTTACTCGGTGGAAAGGGGGGCTTGGGCGTCATTTTACATAGTTAGTGATGTCAGTCTCGTGGTCTGTTCCAAGGTTCTTTTATGAATAGAACATTTCATTTTGTCACTGTTCTCCTGGCCTTGGATTATACTATGTTGCAAGTCAACGGAGATCCGCTAACTCCGGGTCTAGTTATGTCCTTAGAGAGAGAAAATACAATCTCTTATTCATTATACTGAATACTGTCAGGAAATTCTGTCATGTAAGGTGAACAAAATGGAGTTAGTACAATAATTCAATACAGGTTCTAATAAAGATTTTAATAATTCTACATCAGTCCCCCCTATGAAATGTTAGATTCTAAAAGATAATCTTTATTTGTTAGTATCAGAAGACGTGTTAGCCCAAAGGCACAGAAACCCCGTGACCCGCTAGCTAGGTGTTATTGCAAAGTGCAAAGCTGTCCCTTCGTCTGTCCCTAATTGGCTAACTCATCTGTCCGCTGGGCACTCGAACACTTCACTCCATGGGTATCCCGAGGTGGCTAACCCACCACATCTCCGCACGGTAGACTTCCCAGACAGACAGATGCTGTCCCTAAGCTGGTCCCTTCCTAGAACTCTTGCACTTTATCAATAAACGGGATAGATTGTAGCGGTATACAGGGCGAGTTGACTTTTTGGAAATCTTGGTCATCAACTGTGAGGTGTGCGTAAGTGGGTGCCGCTTGGTCTACAGTCTTCAAGAGGAGCTTTCTCAGACAAGGGAGGACACAACAAACGAGAAGAGCAAAGATAAAAAGGAAAATTAGTATTGCTATACCAATATGCATCAAAGCTTTTTGCCATCCTGTCATCCAACCAAACCATCTCTCCCAGGGATCTTTTATCCCAGAGTTCCTCTTTAGCTCCTCAGAGAGCTCTTTCAATTTTCCTATAGCTAAGGTTACTTTACCATTGGGGCCTGTGTTTTCTGGGATGTAAGTACAACATGTCATGGTGTCAGGCAGAATTTTACATACCCCTCCTTTTTCTGCTAGAATCATATCTAAAGCCATTCTATTTTGGAATGACATTTGGGACGTAGCCTGCAACTGTTCGGCCAAACCCTGAAGGGCATCCCTGGTGTAATTAACAAACCGTTGTTGGTTGTAGTAGATGTAATTTATCCAATTTAAATTCTTGTTTGCAGTGACTATGGTAAAAAGTGATTCAAATCCTGCAGCAACTTCATCCCTGGTTTTAAACTCATTGGGCACCCCCCTAGGTACCCCAATGGCATCAATGTAAATATGAGGGTCAAAACTGCCTTTTACTGGGGCTTCACGCTTTACCTTGGTTGGTGAGTGTTTGGACTCATGAGTATCGGGGTGTGTGTCAGAGATAATATGTATGGGCATGATTGCTTTAGCCAGAGTACACTCCCCCCACCATTCTTTATCCATTCTTGATCTCAGCTGTAGATCCCCACACAACCAGTAAATATCCCCCAATGATCTAGTGTGGAATTGTAGGAGGTTCATAGAGACAGTTCTGTAGGTGGCACAATAACCTTTAGAGAAGTTACCCACAAATTTACCAATTCCATCATAATTAGCATAACAGGTATAATTACCTTTATAGACGGTAACACCATCTGGGGGTTTGCAATCTTTGACTAGAAGAGGATACTCTACTGTCCATGCTTTACATATGGACCTATTGAAATTGTAGTGATAGGCAAAAAGACTCAGAACACATTCTTCTATATCTACTGGCAAAGTTGAAGGCACAGTGCCCAGGTGCGGCCAGGCACCACCACACACATAGCATGCGGTTCTGTTATGTTTGTTGGTATTATATTTCATCCATTCTAACCATAGATTAACATCATTGAAACCTGTTTCAGCGGCCATGGTATCTTCAAATGTTGGATTTGCAATGGCCATCATGTCTTTAAAAGATTGGATGTGTGGTTTCAACGGATTTGAGACCATGTGGGTGGTCCCTTTCCACTCAGGAGAGTGGCACATATCTTTAAGGTGGAAATGTCCTAATTTATTATAGGAACCCTTCTTCCAGTACATTCCCATTACATACTGGTCTGCATCCGTTGGGCTGGGATGCTCAATGTTTAAGATTAATTTCATAGGTATGCCTCCTCCGGGCTTTCTCAGAGTCATTCTCTGGAGGAGGGACCTACCGTGATCATCAATTTTAGATAAGACACTTTTTGGTTTGTAACCCCAGGCAGGCCCGGCATTCCATCCCGCCGCCCCCCAATGGTTACAGTTGTGCCCCCATTGTTTGTCAACTACACAAACATAGGGGTCTTTTGAATGAGGGATATCTCTATAGATATTCTGAATCTGTGACGTGGGGAATGGGCATTCTACGATGTCACAGTAGTCAAAAGTATAAGTAGCCACACGGGTACATGATGAATTATACCAGAAGGTGTACCCACTAGCATCTTTGGTGATGGCCACCTGCTGGGCTTTAAGGAGGCCAACTAAGGAGATAATGTACCAGAGGCACATGGTTGCATAGAGTTAGCTTCCTCTGGGGCAGGTGTCTTCTTGCAATGGGAAGCGTGGATCCAGTTAGGCCTTCCGGCCAATTTGACAGAGGTAGGGGAGATCAGGAGAACTTGGAACGGACATTTACTGTTTTCGCACAAATTTCTTGACCAGAACCCAGTCATCGGGGAGCAGACTGTGGTTGCCTGTGTCAGAATCAGGATCTGGAATTGAAGAGAAAACTTGGGCATGGATTTTGTTTAAGGCGTTTGCGAGTTCAGTTACATAATCTACTAAGACATCAGTTTGAAGTTGTAGTTGTTGGGGAAAATAGCAACCTAGCCTAGGTGCAGTCCCAAATAGAATCTCATATAGGGACAATGAGGTAGTATTTTTGTACAAGAGCATTCATTAGATCCTTTGATAAATGTGCAGGTCCGTGTGCCCATTGTACGACTGCTGGGTACAAATTCTTAGGGAGGCAGAACTTGAGGTTGTTGGAGTACACTCCATCCTTCAGAACTGCCCCTTTCTGTTTCCACTTCTGTATTTCTTCAGGGGCAACTGTAGCCTGTTGTTCCCGCAGGATTTTTAGGTCAGTTGGAAGAGTCTGCAGAGTAAATATGGGAGTTTCTTCATTTCCGGACACTCTTCTTTCCACTTCCTGTGGTTCTTTTGCAGCTTGTTTTGCAGCCTGATCAGCTAGATGGTTGCCCCTTGCTTCATCTGAGTCCAACTTCCCATGTGCTTTTATCTTCAAAATAGCCACTTCTTCTGGGAGTAGGAGGGCGTCCATCAGCTCCTTGATTGCGGAACCGTGCTTGATTGGTGTACCGGCGGTGGTAAGAAATCCTCTTGTTTTCCAAATTAATCCGAAGTCGTGAGCCACGCCCAGTGCATATCTTGAATCCGTGTAGATATTGGCGCGCTTTCCTTCAGAGATCTTGCATGCTGAAGTCAGGGCTTGCAATTCAGCTTCTTGTGCAGACATAGTTGATGGTAAAGATGATGATTTGACAATTTCATCTGTTGTGGTTACGGCATATCCTGTATGGTATCTTCCTTCTTCATCAGCATATCTTGAGCCGTCCACAAACAGGGTGAGATCGGGATCTACCAATGGGTCTTCATGCACAGTTGGTAGATGTGTTGTTTCCATTTTCATCTGTTCAAAACAGTCATGAGGTGTATCTGGGTCGTAGTCATTCACTATGGTTAAATCTTGGAACTCATTCTCCAGGAAATGACGCGGCCATGCTTTTAGGTGGTCAGTTGTTGGATATTTGACAACACCATTTTCCTGTAGCTGTGATTCGTCCATAGTGGCCCATGCTTTTGCCATAGGCCCAAGATCATTCCATGATATTGTTTTCAACTTGGTCACAGGGACATGTGGAATGGCAGTGTCCCAATGACGGTACAAATGCTTGAGTTCCGGAGGTAGATGAATCAAGACCATACTGTTGCCTTCAGAATCACAGTAGAAGTCTTGTGCAGTGAGTTTTACTTCGACCAGATGATAGAGTTCATCTTCATAGCAGGATTCAGGAGTGATGTTTGATTTGTACCACATGGTACAGAAGGCATATCCTGCTCCGTCATGAAGGAGTGCTTGTCCATCATGAAAGGATAGGTTGGGATGCATTTCCTTCTTGATGGTGCCAGTGAGAAGAAAAACATAAGTTTCGTCCATGATGAATCCGTAGTATACACCCCCCTCAGGGAGTGGCAGAAGAGTGGACGGATTGAGAACTTGACATCTTTGGAGGGTAATGTTGTCAGGCAACAAAAGATGACATTGAAGGCGAAGATGCCTAGCAGGAGTAACATGCTTAAGTTGGACCTGGTTGACTATGGCAGAAATGTCATGGGGGCCAAGACAACCAGGGGGTGGCCAAGGACAAGATCTCCAGTTCTTTCAATGAGCTCTCTGGCAGCAAAGACGGCCCGAAGGCAAGAGGGACGTCCTCTGGCCACAATATCCAGTTGGCAGGAGAAAAATCCAATAGGCCCTTGGCGGCCTCCAGGACCATGGGCCTGAGTGAGCACTCCTGTTGCATGGCCTTGTCTTTCAGAAACAAACAATTTGCATGCCACTGAGAAGGCTGTCAATTTGGTGTCTTGAGCAGATGTGGGTGAGGAAAGTAAAGATGCTTGACGTACCTGA